GCCGGTTTCTGTTACATTTCGTCCCAGTGTGAGCTCAAGAAGGTGTCTGGGTTTTTCTTCCATGCCGGAGGAGCATGGATATGTGTGTTTCCTTGCAAACATACTGTGTATGAGTAGAGAGTGGTTTGGTATTATATTTATGTGCGTGCGTGCGTGTGTGTGTGCAAGAGCCTGTGTGTGCGCAGGGGACGCCAGTTGGGATAACAGCTGAATCATGGCTCAGCCGCTGCCCCTCGTAGTCCTTGGCAGTTAGCGGTGTGAAAAAGCCTTCTCTTTGAGGGCATTATATAGATTAATGTGCTGTGCCTCAGGCAGAGACACACACACCTCGCCAGGGAGGGATCCTGACACTGTGTGTGTGTGTGTGTGTGTGTGTGTGTGTGTGTGTGTGTGTGTGTGTGTGTGTGTGTGTGTGTGTGTGTGTGTGTGTGTATTTTGTGCAAATGTGCGTGTGTGTGTGTGGATGGAAGAGGGGACAGTTTGGTGGTGAGGGGGGGTGTTAACAAGAGAGTAGGGGAAGGTACCGTGAGTAAGCTGTGCTTGTGTGAGAGAGAGAGAGAGAGAGAGAGAGAGAGAGAGAGAGAGAGAGAGAGAGAGAGAGAGAGAGAGAGAGGTGGTGTTCAGAGTCACACTGAATTTTTCAATGATTCTTTGAGATATATCTTGTTGCATTTTTAACATAAAAAGGCAACTCACAGACAGAAGAAAACACATTTAATCATGAATAAGTAACGTCACAGGAAGGTGGGAAAATATTACTCGTAGACTTGTTTATTCAGGTTTTTTTAAACTGCTTGTTTCGCTTCTTCGACTCATAAAATGAACCTAAAATCACAGTCTTTGTAAAATAAATAAATACAGATATGTCATTTCTTAGGGTGTCTATAAGTCCTCATGTGTTCAGGCTGCTGGCTGTCTGAAGGGGCATCAGGGCAGTGGATAAAGCATCCATCATAATTTTTTTTAAATGTGAATCAAGAGGGTGTTTAGGAGGCCTGGGTGACTCGACAGGGGGAAGACCTCTTGCCCCAGCTGTGACTTTTACTCCCTCTTCACCTTTTCTCTCTTTCTCTCGTACTCTGCCTGCCTCGCCTCCCAGCTGAGTTAAGATCAGGGTGTAGCTGAGCCGATACTCAGTATCACAACAAATAACACACAAACGCCACAGCTGCTGGAAGCAAATTCAAATGGAAAAGTACAACACCGCTCCCGTGCCTGTTAAAGCAAAAAGCTTGTAAGGGTAAACAAGACACTTTAGAGGCGCTCTGTTTCTTTCGCTCCCTTAGTGATCACTCCTTTTTTTTTTTTTTTTTTTTTTTTTAATCATTCCTTTTTTTCTTGTTTGCTCCACTTTTCTGTCCGGTGAGAAATAGGAGGCAGATTTTCCTTATCAAGGGTTTTAGCACATTCCACTCAAGGTTAGGCACATCTGTTGTTTAGTGTGTGTGCTGGTGCATACGACAATAACTGTTCAGATTGTTTGTGTGTGATGTTCTGTCCTCTATGATGTGACATGCAGCTGCAAAGTCTTGGGACACAGAGTGTATACATGCACGTGAATCTAAATGTCCATATATGTGTGTTTATGCACATGTGTGTGTGTGTGTGTCTCCAGCCAGCGGCCTAAATAACCCACTTTTGTCTGACAACAGCATCAAGTCGTGGAGGTGCACATATGCAGAAAGCTGCTTGGAAAGGCCTCCTAGTAGCTGTCAGCTTTTATTATGCGCTGAGGTGTCATGTTTGTTAGGAAGCTGAGTGCAGATGGCAGAGTGGAAGAAATGGATCACTAATTTTAACAATGATTAATGAACAGAGATGGAAAATGAATTACATCGGACTATTGGAGGCAAGGAATATTTTCTCTGAAAATGTTAACTTCGGCTGCCAGGCAGCCGGCCGTGTTGTGGGAGTATATTGAGGAGGGGGAGGGAGTGTGTGTGTGTATGTGTGTGTGTGTGTGTGTATGTGTGTGTGTGTGTGTGCTCTAAGGTGCAATTTTCCCCCCGCATCTTTTGTAGAATCAACACTTCACTGCTCTTGCCTATTACTTTACTGTTCGCCTGCTTAAACACTGCCAGCTTTATAACCACTGTTGTTCCCCTTCTGTGTATTGCACTACCAGTTAAGGTACACACTCTTTAATAAGGTAAACACAGGAAAGGTTAGACTGTCTTCAAATGTTAGCGATTTCCATTACTCCGCGGCGTGCTTTGATATCAAATCATAGATATAGTAGATCCAACCGAGTGTCGGTAGCTATTCTTTGGTATTTTAGTCGGGTAGAAGAATAACCTGCTTTCACCTGCAAGTGTTTTCTGTTTTAATGATTTCATATGAAAATAATTAAAGTATTATTTGGACAATAACTTTATATATTTTTTAAAGATGCAACCTTATGACTACAGTTGAACACCTTGTGAGAGCATATTGTCCTAGACCTGTGGCTCATTTGTTTGAGATGGGCGTCTCTCAACCTGAAGGTCCGGGGTTCGATCCCCAGCTCCTGCAGCCACATGTTGATGTGTCTTTGGGCAAGACACTTAACCTCCAAAATTGCTGCTGCTGCGTGTGAATGTATATGAATGGATTACTTTACCTAGCATCCTCTTCCATCAGTGTGTGAATGGTGTTAATGTGTAGGGTGACCTGCGGTGTAAAAGTGCTTTGAGTATTTAGAAGACGTGAAATGTCAAGACCATTTTCCATTTATGGTGACGTAGTATATGAATCATGACGATGATTTAATGCCCTTTACGATATTTTCTCCCACCCCCTTATCATGACAATCTGTGTTGCGGTTAGTAAGAATGTATTAAACCATCTTCAAACATCAGTCTTGCAGAATTACACACTAATCTAAAAAACAGACATTCTACAATTCACTACATTCATTTACTTTATCCAAAGTACATCAGAGAGTAAGAACAACACAAGCAAGGATCTAGAAAAAAGAGAACAATATCAGTAAGAGCAAACGATCAGCTTTGAGTCTGATTGGACACACAGGTGCTGACAGGAAGTGACCAGAGGCAAAGCACAACATTGAGGGCAGTTCTTGAGAGCTCTAATCAGTATAGAAACCATCTTATAAGTCATCGTTATCAAACAAAAACCATCGTCATTACCATCATCATCATCAATAATATGGAGACCATCATCATTAAGTTAGTAGGTATTCATGAAAGAGCTGGGTCTTTAGCTTTTTCTTAAAGGTGCAGAGGGACTCTGCAGATCATGACACTCTTCATTTCCTGTGATCTTCGACGACCTCCTTAAAGTTTCTCCTATTACTCCTGCCACCTCCTCCTTTTCTTTCTCAAAGACAACATCTCTCTCTCTCTCTCTCTCTACCCATCAACCCTCCTTGTGTCGGTGTCTCTTTTAACAGGCTGGTGGGCGGCTTGTGCAACAACATGCTTTAATAGGTAGATGTGAACTATTTTGAATTTAATTAAGGGCCTGATGGGAAATGCGTTAAGGGAAGAAAACAGAGCAACTTTGAGCAACATTGTGTGTTTGTGTACATGTGTATGCATGTGTGCAAGGCAGACAGCGAGAGAGAGAGAGAGAGAGAGAGAGAGAGAGAGAGAGATCTCAGGTTACAGCAGCATATGCTAAGCACTCAGAAAACATACACAATGCCTTTGGTGAACAAGGTAGTCGGTATGCCCTTGGGAGCCAATTTAGATTGTGACTTAAGGCAATGTCGTGGCTTTGTGTGTGAGAGTGTGTGTGTGTGTGTGCGTTCCCTCTGTAAGTGAGCGAGAGTTTTTTTTTTTACTCTTGACGCTCCATTGAAACAGTAGTGGTGTGTAGATCTGGGTGGCCCTCCTGTAGACCCTCCACATCTGTGTTCCCCCTCTGCCTCCTCCCCTCCCCCCCCCCACACTCCTCCTCCTGTTGCAGGACTCTGAGCCAGCTCCTCCATGCCTGGCTGCCTCTCCACATCCAGAGGAGCCATGAGAATTAGTCGGACCCAAAATTTTTTTAAAGTAATAATGCGCAGGATTAATGAATCAGAAAACAAAAAAAAAAAAGAAACAGACCAAAAAGGGAAAAGGCTGTGTTGCTAAAAGTGAGTGACAGATGATCTTTGCATCAAACATTTAGCATTAGAGATTCAACATAAATACACCCAAACGGAGATCTCGACGATTACCGTCTAAAGCGGACTTCCACATCTAAGCAAACGTTTTGAAATGTCACCAAAAAAATGAAAGATAAATCTGCGTCAAAATGGATAATCATGTTTTCTTTGACATATAACAAAGCTGTACAACTTCTGCACCTCCTGCATTAACGGGCCCCTTCTTGCTGCATGCGCTTAGGAAACATCATTTTATAAATCATGATTCATACGAGAAGTCAGAGTCAGCTGCTGTCGGTTTCTGTGCGAGGCCTTGGCTCAAAATGCCACTCGCCCAGTCACTCGCTATACTCCAAAAGGGAGTGGCACTCTTTTTACCTCACATACTTTGTCGGCTTGATTATTTTTCTGGCGTTAAGCGGCGGGGCTTCAAGGCTAGATCAGATAACATCCTCTGCATGAGCTGCGGAGGCTCCTCATAGTTTTGTGCTGAGGAGAACAAAGCTTCTTGTTTTTTTTTTCTTCCCCCAACACTGTATTTTAAATGTGAAACTTCTAAACCTTGAGTGTCGGTCCCAGTAAGATTCCCCCCGTCTAGAACTCAACATTACAGCGTCACATTAAAAAATAAGTAACATGAAGAAAATGAAATATAGGAGAAAACTGACAAACAGCAGCAATAACAGTTCATATATTTGTTAGATTACACATGGATGTTTAGATGACATCATGTCCTCACAGGAAGTCCTGAGGAAAAAATAAATATGTGGCGACGGGTGTTTGTGGGATAAGCACGCAATATTTTTTAATGGGTATTTCTCTTTTGTCTTGTGCTGCAAAAACTTGTCAAGCTTCAAATATGTATGACGCTGAATTTCCTGGTGTGTGTGTGTGTGTGCTTTGTTTACAGGCTCTTGTCGTCCCACCTTCTGTGGAGCTGTCGACACTCTTTCCTGACATCCGGCGTTCGTTGGAGCGGCGGGCGGGCGGCAGGCGCACAGGTACGATCACACCGATTGTTTTCGCGGGGAAAAAGGGGGAGGATATTAAAAAGGTGTCTGTCACACTTACACGCCCCAGCATGCATCTTTTGTTTTCATTTGAAATCTTTGTTTATCCGGAGAAAGTCGATTGAGCATGGGACTTGTTAAGCGGTGACATGCTTCTCAAGTCACACTGCAGACGCTTTCAGAAGACGGAGCTCTGCACCTTTACAGCCTGTTGGAGGGTCAGTGGCTTGCTCCTGACCCTCTCCCTCCCTCCCTCCCTCCCTCCCTCCAGAGAGAGAGAGAGAGAGAGAGAGAGAGAGAGTTTCTTAATCACACTCCATTGAGTAGACATCCATCCAGCATCAAAATCTGTACATTTCCACCACACGATGGAAATATGCTCTGAGTATGCATCCATTCAGAAATATGGGACATTAATAAGCGAGTAGATTTAAGGAGATTAAATGTCACCACTGTGACCTGAATTTTGTGCGAGTGAACATAAACTTCTAGCTAACACCACACATACACCTTCGATTATTTTCTGTTTTTACCTCATTGGTTCTTCTTGTCCCACTTTTTTAACGATGCTAATCATCTTAAAAGTTAGCTGCGCCCCCTGCCAGAGCTACTTGACATAAATACGGTGCCAGGTTTTTTTTTTTTTATCACATACTGACTAAAGATACAAAAAAAAAAACTTACACACACACACACACGCACACACCCAGTCTGTCAAAAAGCCAAGGTGCTGTCAATGCCTCTCTATGTGGCTCAAGGAGACAATTAGCAAACAGAGGTGACATGGTAAACAGGTGCGAGCCATTCTTCATGGAGCTGGAGGAGTGTGGCCTTCCTGTCTCTCGTGGTGATAGGCTGTATGTGTGTGTGCGTGTTGGTGAGTGATGTCAGATCATATGACAAGTATAAGTGAGGGATATGTCTGCGTCGTGGGGTTAGCATACCTCATCCCGCCCGGTCGTATGTAATCAGCCCATCATCATCATCGTCGTCGTCGTCTTTGTTGTTGTCGTCGTGACTTTACCTCACATCCGTCTGTGCCCCCCCCTTTAAATCTCTGCACGTCTCTCCGACATCCCTCCTCTTCTCTTTCCAATAATTACTTATCCTCTCTCACTCCTCTGTATTCCTTTAATTCGTAATAGACCATTGTCCTGGGGGTCGACTTCCTGAGAAACAGAAAGAGGGAGAGAGAGGCGGCGGGGGGGCGGGGGGGGTGGGGGGGTCAGGCAGGTTTGTAAAAATTGATTGCTTGTAAAGCGCTAATCAATGGAAACCTTTTCTCTTGAAGCTGGAAAAATCATGTTATAACATTTGTTATAAAATGCAGAGATGAAGCGTATACGCAGCAGTCCTCTTTATTATAAGCTGAGACAACAGCCTGTCTGAATGATCAACCCTGTGTTCAGAGGTGTTAAGAAGAAAAAAGCGTATTTAACTGCAAATGTCACGTTCAGATTCAGACGATATCATCTTTTGATCTCATCAGATGTCACGCTCCTCGCACAGATATTTGGTCTCCATACGTTAATAAAAATAATAATAAGATCCTTCACTCCTGCAGCCGAGGCGCCGCTCAGTAATGGTCTGCTGTTTTTGAAACACATTTCTCCGGCTGTAGATTTTTATTAATCAAATATAGCGCGGGTGAGTCATGTCGTTTTGGCTTGTGTCATATCGGAGGTATGTGCCACAGATTTCCCTCATATTGGAAGCAGAACTAACACATGCTCCCCCTTGACGCATTCTCACACCATTTTCTCACACAAAGTGCTCACACACCAGCTCGCAGAATTGTACACACAGACACACACGGATGACTTATATAGAAAGAGATTCATAAACACACACACACACAAGATTGAGCATTTACGCTAACACAGATGAAACCTTGTTACAACAAACCTTCAACAGGACACGGCACATTCCTCAGATAAATGTATATTTCTATTAATGGTAGAGATTTTTTCTTCACATCCTTTTGTCAACACAACTTTCAGTTAACCAGAGGTCTGTTTTGTGCTGAAAATGTCTTTTTCGAGGACATGTCAGAGGTCAATCTTCTACTTTGTACAACTCTACATTCCTCATACAGCCACACTTAGTTTGTTACTAAACTTATTACGTCTCCAAAAGCCACACCTTCATCATTTTTCTTTAAACATCAACCTTTGCTCCAGTAAACTTAGCAAGTGTATTAGTCTTAAAGTCCAACATATCTGATTACACTAAATACAAGCCACATGCCCCCTGACTACGGAAGCCCGAAGTGGACCTGCATCCACACATTTTATTTTCCTCAGTTTCCCCGTGATAAAGAATCTTTTTTCGTTGTTTTCTCAAGATCTGGACTTATTTATCGTATGATCAACAACACCCGTTTCCCGTGATAAAGAGTTGATACTAGTGGTTTTATTAAGATATATACGTAGGCTATACATATTTAGATTAAGCTACTGAAATCAGCACGTTATCATGGGGAAAAAAAGATTGAATTCATTCGGAAAGAAAACTGGTACCTCTCCAGCAAACACCATGAATTCTACAATTATACCTTGGTCCTTAAAGGGAATTGACCCAATGACCCTCCGGTTACCAAGCCAAGTCCCTACAGATTGAGCTACTCCCAACCCCAAAGACAAAACCAGAGTTCATATCCATCCAGAGTTAAGGACATAAGTAAGTTGAGATCTTATTGATGGTAACAGCTATTGAGGGCTTCTGTTCCTGCCCAGCAGAAAACAAGAACAGAATAAGTTCAAATAATATCTACCAATGCAGGAAACTAAATTAACTTATAATTACATTTATTAACAAATAAATGTTGCTTGCTGCACTGGTAAATATTTTTACTCATTACAAGCGATTGCTTTTATTTTTTTGCTCATAATAACTTGAATTAAGATGTTTATCTGGACCTGGCAGGTGCATGTTGCTTATATTAAGTGTTTTTTGGTGAACTTAAGTTCAACAGATATTGAAGTTGAAGTACTTCTTTTACTGTGGACCTAGAAAGAGAACACCCTAAACCGTGTACTGTAATCCAGATAATTAGTGAAACTAAACATTTCAAACTGAATCTTAAAGATAATGCATTTGAACATGTTTGTAACCATGTTTTAGCCAGATACCATCACATTTGGATCTTTGGTTCAATTCTTTCTGACAGTCTACGCTCTAAGCCCTGACTGTGTTTAAGTCTTTCCTGTAAGATTTCTCACAAGTCTTTTAAAGTAACAATATGTAACTTTTCCACCTTAATACTTTAGTTTCAAAGGTTAATCTAATAGAACAATAACTATCAGCATGGAGAATGGTGTCTCTCCCTTGTCCACAGAACATACTCAACATGCAAAGTTAGCAAACAACGAGCTGAAGACGCTAGCTGAGTCATCTTTTCCCTAAATCTGGTAATATGACTGAACCGTGTCCGTCTACATGGTTCTTCAGCTTCTCTCAACGTCTTTAGCGTCTTCACCCCCTCTTCTTGTCAACAAACTCAACAGCACTACGTGCTTCCTACGACAGTGTAATTGCATGCAGAGACCTTGGAGGGGCACCAAAGTGCACCAAACCAATTCCCTACATAGTGTTGCTTTAAAGTAAATGGTAAATGGACTTGAGTTTATATAGCGCTTTTCAACTACTCAAAGGACTTCTACACTGCATGGCACACCTACCCATTCACACACTGATGGTAGTAGTCGCTGTGTAGTATCATCCATCAGAAATAACTCATTCCATTCATACACCACCACCAAAGTAGTGGGAGCAATTCAGGGTTAAGTGTCTTACCCAAGGACACATTGAACATGCTAAGGCTGGCTGGGGATTGAACCCTCAACCTTCTGGTTGAGAGACAATGACGCTACCAACTGAGCCACAGCTGCCCAAGAAGACTCAAACAGATAGGGTGTCAGCCTTGTTCTTTCACATCTTCTTAGCTTTTGTCCGCGGCAATATAAGAGCCCAGTTTAATGTGAACAATGTCTTTTTTTTGGAATCAATGTTCACTTTTACTTTCACCAAAATGGATTTCTTTCTGCATAATTATTCAGGCCAAAATGAGGTCAGGAATGTAGCATTTAATTATTTAACTATAGGCATTGTAATCCAAAACCTGACATTGATTTCTCTGTAACAAACTACAAAGTGTAACCTCTTCTCTGGAAGACAGAAGAAGCTCAACATAAGTTGCAGGGGTGGTGGGTGGAGAGGGTCAATTTTCCCACAGTTTGCTCCTCCATGTTGTTGGGTTAAGATTGTCACTGCTGTGTGGTACTCTACCCCGCTGGTATAAATAAGACATGATTGGCATCACAGCAGACGAAACACTCTCTCTCTCTCTCTTTATCTCTGTCTCTCTCTCTGACAGCCTTCATTTGCTGGAGGAGTGGCAGACTTGGTGGGAGTTAATGATTATAATTATTTAGCTTTTTTTATTTCTTTTTTTATTTTTTTTTTTTACATTGTGGGATAATTATTTAAGAGGTTCGTGTAGTCATTGTTGTAATCAGTAAAGAGAGATTACAGAAAATCCGCATGCCAACAGATGGCACTTCGCTGTTGTTGTTGCTTCATATTAAACCCAGTGCAGCACACTCGCTAGCAGGCAGCCGCCGAGTGAGGGGACAATCAGAAAAAGGGGGCCAAATTATGAAACAATTTGTCCTTCATCATAAATCAATTTATCGTATCACTCCGTCCCAGAGAAGAAGAAAAAAAAAGAATCAAAAGTAGTTAGCGTGCGTTCAATCCTAAACGCATCGTCACAATGTGGAGGGGTTTCGAGCCCCGGTGGGAACTGGATTTGAATTTACAAAAAAAAAAAAAACTCTTCTACACTACAGACAGTATTTGACCAGAGGAGCCCCGTCCCCGTGACTTTATCTATTACCACCGCCATAGTCGTTCACACGCAAACCCCATTCACAAAGAAGGTCAGCGCTCGTTAGCTCGGCTCCTCTGGGACCCCGGCTGCTTCAGCCACC